CCTGTCACGTTTGACATTGACAAACACCCCAGGCAAGTCTGGTTGTTTTGTGCTTGAATTCCTCGGATTCCTGCAGTTATTCCTGCAGTTATTCCTGGGACGGCTTCTGCAGCTTAATAGAAGTGTTCAAGATGCCCATTATCATTATCATTATCATTATTACTATAATTATAATTATCATTGTTATTATTATTATCATCAATCATTTAAAGTTCTGGTTTCATGGAACTGCAACTTGCTAGGCGAGATTGGTGTATTTCAATAGCCTGCGTTTCGAAGTACTGGTATCATGACATTTCAAGGCAATGCCTACAGCACCCCAACGGACAAGTTGTAGAAACGATGACCCAAAACTACGGAGTTGAAATCAATCCGCGGTCACTTGACCCGTAACGGACACAGGCCTGGAAAACCGGGCCATTTGGCGCAAGGTGTGCGTTCTTTACTGTTTTCTTTAGGCCCGGAATGCGGCTGGAAAACCACCGTTGAACGGTCAGGACAGAAGCTTCGCCAGTGAGTGCTACGGCATCGCTTTTATTCAGCGACTCCATTGCAGCTTTGTCGAAGAATTTGGCTTTACCGTTTTTTGTGGTCGAAAATTATGACTTTCCGACCATAGTTATGTGGCCTGATGCGATATATTTTATATAATTTGGTAGTTGGGAATGGATTCACCGCATATTTCTGGTTTCGCAATATTTGCGATGCTGGCTTTGCCACATTGCTGCGTTCTTCATCGTTCTTCTGTTTGATGAGTCATTTTGCGCCTGAAAGTCTGTTGCAGATGTGCAGATGTGGGCAGGTTTTTTTGTCTTCGATGCAAAGCACATGTCAGCAATGTTTGTGGGTTGCGCTTCATTTTGACACCATTCAATATCGAAAGTAATGTTTTTGGAGAGGAACTGTAGGGCAAAAGAAAGATCATGACAAATTCTGTTTCATCACACCATAACTGCCATACGTGCCACAACAGCTGCTTGCACGCCATCGCGACGATTGCTGATTTCCTTTTGCGCCCGTGGTCCACGCTTTGCTCTTGATCCTTCTTTTTCTTTAGTCGCTCTACTCCATACTTGTGCTTGCTCAACCCTCTTTTTTCCTACGGTTTTTTTCTGTTTCCTCTACTCTACTCTTTTCGTCCTTTCTTTGCTGGTCTATTCTTCCCTTCTTTACTCTTCTCTGCTCTTAGAGTCTTCTTCCTTGTTCTACACTTTTTCCGCGTTTCTCTCCTCTCCTGATTTAAAGTACCCGAAGAAGATTCCAAGAACCCTTCCACTATCGGTAAAACTATCGTCTCACAGAACCCCTCTGCTGAGCTCCGTGGGTTAACGTGCAGAACACCATAAGATACCATAAGTGCACTCAGCATCCATGGAGCACATGAGTTCTGTGAAATTTAGGGAGTTTGCACAGCTGTTTGTGCATATCGGTTGTTGGTTTATTTCTTGACGCAAGTGCTGAGTTTCTTTGGGGGAACTTTACGTTTTGTGAGGCCACAACTGCTTTGAAGAAAAGCAACATCTTTTAAGGCGAACTTGAACGGAAGTGCACCTGCATGATTCTGGTTCTTTTCAGGAAGGCAGCCCTGAGGCTGTACATTAAGGCGAGACAGCGCGTCTTTGCAGGAAAACATATAAAATATAAACAATTATAAACACATCAATACAGGTCGCGAAGGGATTTGCAATGTGTGAAGACTAACTTATCTCGCACAATACCTTTTCACATCCTTTCGCTCGCAAGAATTAGGCACAGTCTTCACTGAAGGTTTGTTTTTTTCTTTGGGGATTTTGCAGTTGTTCATCCTTGACTCGAAGGAACAGTAAAGACAGTTGGTCCGCGGCCACTGTAGCTGTACTGGTGTCGAGTTTTGCAAACCTTTGCCGTAAAGGTTCGAAAAGTAGTTGTGCAATTCTGTGCCCCTGCGGACTGGAATGACACGCTTTGCGGACAAAGTTCGGAGCAGGTCGCGTGTTGTAAAGCACTCCTTGCTTCCTCAAACCAGATCCGACCCTCTACAGCCCTCCCATAGTGCCATAGTACCTTTCCATCTTATATCAAACCTGCAGCTTCAGATTCAACAAATTCGCAATATCATTCAATATCCCATAGGATCCATGTATGCTATATATGCTAACATTGGGGGTATATTGATGGTACATGTTAGCATATATATAGCATACATGGATCCTATGGGTATATCAATATCCTTTCAGCCGAAACTTCAGGATCCGCTGGAGGAAACGCAGGAGACTCAGGAGCCGATGGAGGTCTCACAAGCCAGCGTCCTGGTTCCAGCCATGACCTTAGAGCGCTGATGAAACACCGATGGAGGAAACGGTTGATGGGAAGATGTGGTTTTTTACAGCTGAATTTGATCTAATTTGATCTAATTTGGAGGAAATATGGGGAATAGTTTGACAGAATAGGAGTTGATCAAAACACAAGATTTTTTGAAGGGATGAAGCAACAGATCAGAGCTGGACAAGCTGAGTTCATGATGGAACAAGAATATCTCGTTGAGTTTCCATCAGCAAGATTCTGGACAGGTTGAGGACAAGTTCAATTAAATTTAATTGATGTTCAGGATGTGTTTGTTGAATTTTGTTGATTTCTTGCCGATTTCCAGCTCAATTTCAGAAAACATTTGTCAATTTGTTTGTTCTGAAGTTGCCAATGATTGCCGAGCCAGAAGTTTTGGCCAAAAATCCTTACTGAACCAGGCATTAGCCGCAGCTTCCGTCGTCATTTGCTGTGTCTTTGGATGTTTGCTTGTCATGTGCTCAGAGTGAGAAGTCTTGCCGTCTTGCCGTGCAGCTTCTTTCTACTTGCGATTGGCGATTTCAGCTCCTCAAAATCGGCTGATCCATGGCTCCTCTTTAAGCTCCTCAAACTCGGTTCAGCCGCTTGTTAAACGCAGCGAGTTTGCGTTGATTTTTCTCTTTATCATATTGGGAGACAATTCCATTTCCTGAGATGTTTCTGGTGTTGTTTGGTCATGCAAGGTGAGATTTTGGAATTCAATAGTGATCAGATTGATCAGCTGTTTGATCACGCAAAGTCACACCCCCCTAATTATCATCATTTATCATTCTAGACAATAGTAACAACCATTAACAACCACATTGCCTCGCAGAGATCCTGCAGGTCAAGTTGCGGAAAGCCTGCAAAGCACGAGCAAAGGTTGCTCCGAAAGACCCTGAGAAGAATCGCTATGAGGAACGCCCAACAGTGTTTTTGGTTGCAGTGAAATAACCACAATTATCTTTTAGATCTTTTAGGTAACAACTCTCCTCCAATAATTCAATACTCGACATTTTTGAACATTCAGAAAAATCCGGATATTTCTTTGCGCTCCTGTGTTCCATCGGTTGGAACGGTGATTGAGACCAGAAATTCTCTTTTGGTTTTCACCCAATCAGGTTCGATCAATAGAGTTCATAGAATGATAGAATCAGATACGTAGAAAAATAATGAAAGATACGTAGATCAATAAATATTGGTCCACCCCTATACAGATCCGAAGGTTTGGCTTTAAGGTCCGAAAATATATATCAGATATTATCAGATCGATAAATATAAATATAATATATATATAATATAATATAATATATATATATAAATATAGATATAATATAATATATATATATGTATAAATATAATATAATATATATATATATGTATAAATATAATATAATATATATATATATGTATAATATATTTAAATATATATATATATATATTATATTTTATTATATTTATAATTATATTTATTATTATATATATATATACATTATGATAAATAGATGATAAATAGATGATACATATCGGACCCAAAGGTTCGATCCATCCTGGCCGCTTTGCGAAACGCGGCCAGGCCTTTGTTGATGTGCTGCCTGGAGAGGCAGCGACCCAGCGGCCCAGGATTTTGAACAAAAGGACCTATATGAAAAAATGAAAAGCAAATGGAAAAGAGCTGATATCTGGAAATGATGAAATTCCTTCAACTTCCTTTAAATGTCCTTAATTTTCTTGTTCAAAACGACCTGCGCAAGGTGCACAGCGTGTACGATGCTGACAAAGATATTCCAGGCGAAATCGGCGAGGAATCCTCCGGAGACAGCCAAGCTGATGCACAGGCGAAATCTGCCGGGGTAGGGCAGAGCATCTCCATGCATCAACCACTGTTTTTTTGCGGAGTGTGAATCCTAGTTGCTGCCAAGATCACCTGCTACGTGCAGCAGTTTTGGCAAGATTGTTTTTCTGTTTTGTAGTTTCTGTCAGATAAATTCTTGTCCCTTTTTCAGGAGCCACCAGTTTGAATGAATCGAAGAAAGATTGAATCGGGTAGAATGCACTTCTGCAAGTTGTTTCATGTTTTCATGCCAGGAGGGTGAGGACGCATCAGATGAAGAAAATCGTGTTCAAGATGTTCAAGAAGAGCATGAAAACGATGCAAAGCAGGCGCAGTAGGAAGGCAGACATGTGGTGACTTTGCTCAGAATTTCAATCATGCTTTAAACATCCCTACCCTCTTAAAAATGAAATTTGAGGGGGGGAGTCGTACTGAAATTTCATTTAAAAATTCCATTTTGTCCCACCTGCCAGGTGAGGGTTGTTAGATTTTATCAGAGCTCATGCCCGCCTCCTCCTCCTCCGCCTCCTCCTCCTCCTCCTCGACTAGCTGTCCTCCTCGCCCTCCTCGCCTCCGCCTCTTCCACCTCCACTTCCGCCTTGCCAACCTTGCCAACTCGTCGCCAAGCTCTTCGCCAACTTCCCAGCTCAGTGCGCACTGCTGGACGTCAACCTGCGAGCTGCCCAGCTCAGCGTGCAGCTCAGTGTGCACCGCTGGACCTCAACCTGGGACCTGCCCAGCTCAGTGTGCACCGCTGGACGTCAACCTGGGAGCTGCCCAGCTCAGTGTGCACCGCTGGACCTCAACCTGGGACCTCCCCAGCTCAGTGTGCACCGCTGGACGTCAACCTGGGAGCTGCCCAGCTCAGTGTGCACCGCTGGACCTCAACTGGACCCTACTCCGTCTCGGCCCCGTGGGGATCCAACAGTGCAATCCACCCTCTCCTTTTTCCACCGCTTTCCCTCCCCCTTTTCCCAGAGGCCCGTTGCCCATCTCAGTGTGCACCGCTGGACCTCAAACGGCCAGATAAAATGCCAGATAGAATGCCAGAAGATATGCCAGATAGAATGCCAGAAGATATGTCAGATAGAATGCCAGAAGATATGCCAGAACATATGCCAGAAGATATGCCAGAAGATATGCCAGATAGAATGCCAGAACATATGCCAGAAGATATGCCAGATAGAATGCCAGAAGATTTGCCAGATAGAATGCCCAGAAAGTATACATGCCATGATAGAATGCCAGAAAATGATCAGATAGAATTCCAGAATATTTGCCAGATAGAATGCCCAACCAATCCAAACGAAGATTTGCAATATGATGCCAGAGATATTCACCAGAACATCTGCCAGAAGATTTGCCAGATAGAATGCAGATCGTGAATGCCAGAAAGATTTTTGCCCGATACGTGCCAGAATGATATTTGCCCCGAATAGAATGCCGAAGATTTGCCAGATAGATGCCAGAACATAATGCAAAGTAAGGCCAGAAGAATGCAAGATAGAAATGCCCAGAAGATAAATGTCAGATAAAATTGCCAGAAGATATGGGGCCAGATAGAAATAAAATGACCAATAAGATATGCCAGATAGAATGCCAGAAGATATGCCAGAACATATGCCAGAAGATATGCCAGATAGAATGCCAGAAGATTTGCCAGATAGAATGCCAGAAGATATGCCAGATAGAATGCCAGAAGAAATGTCAGATAGAATGCCAGAAGATTTGCCAGATAGAATGCCAGAAGATTTGCAACATAGAATGCCAGAAGATATGCCAGAACATCTGCCAGAAGATTTGCCAGATAGAATGCCAGATAGAATGCCAGAAGATTTGCCAGATAAAGTGCCAGAATGTTTGCCAGATAGAATGCCAGAAGATTTGCCAGATAGAATGCCAGAACATATGCCAGAAGATATGCCAGAAGATATGCCAGATAGAATGCCAGAAGATATGTCAGATAAAATGCCAGAAGATATGCCAGATAGAATGCCAGAAGATATGCCAGAACATATGCCAGAAGATATGCCAGATAGAATGCCAGAACATATGCCAGAAGATATGCCAGATAGAATGCCAGAAGATTTGCCAGATAGAATGCCAGATAGAATGCCAGAAGATATGCGAGATAATATGCCAGAAGATATGCCAGATAGAATGCCAGAGAGAATGCCAGAAGATTTGCCAGATCATATGCCAGAAGATATGCCAGATAGAATGCCATAAGATTTGCCAGATAGAATGCCAGAATGTTTGCCAGATAGAATGCCAGAAGATTTGCCAGATAGAATGCCAGATAAAGTGCCAGAATGTTTGCCAGATAGAATGCCAGAAGATTTGCCAGATAGAATGCCAGAAGATATGTCAGATAGAATGCCAGAAGATTTGCGAGTAACAAAATGTATAAATGTCATGGTGGGGATCACACGAAGGAAAGTAATTGCATTGTTTACTCAATGATCAACATTCCTTGTCATTCCATATCATTGGCAAACAGATGAAAATTAAATACTTGCGCTTAGCTCCTCCGGAGCTAAGCGCGAGTATTTTCTAACCAGTGCCCAAGGTTTGTTAAGAAATGTTACTTTAAAATTCCATTTGAGCAATTGGATCACTATCCCAGGGTTTCCAAGCAAAAAAAAGTGGAATTCGACAGGTTGGTTTTGTCCCCCCCCGCCCTCCCCCTCTATAGGGGTAGGGATCTTTAAACTAAAGAATGTTTTGTTACAGAGGTTCACAAATATTCACAAATATTGCACAGCTGCGCATTTACACCATTTATACGAGCATGGGGTGACTGCAGGGAGTTTACAAGAATTTCCGTTTTTTTTTGCTGCCAAGATCACCTGCTACGTGCAGCAGCTTTAGCATTATGGTTTTTCTGTTTTTGTAGTTTCTGTCAGATAAATTCTTGTCCCTTTTACAGGAGCCACCAGTTTGAATGAATCGAATAAAGATTGAATCGGGTAGAAACCACTTCTGCAAGTTGTTTCATGTTTCCATGCCAGGAGGGTGAGGGCGCATCAGATGAAGAAAATCGTCTTCAAGATGTTCAAGAAGAGCACGAAAACGATGCAAAGCAGGCGCGGTAGGAAGGCAGACATGTGGTGACTTTGCTCAGAATTTCAATCATGCTTTAAACATCCCTACCCAATTAAAAATGAAATTTGAGGGGGGGAGTCGTACTGAAATTTCATTTAAAAATTCCATTTTTGCATTTTTTACTCAATGATCAACATCCCTTGTCGTTCCATATCATTGGCAAACAGATGAAAATTAAATACTTGCGCTTAGCTCCGGAGGAGCTGAGCACATGTCAGACTGAAGCAGCACATGTGTAGGGGTGGCATCCCTCCAAAAATTGCGTTGCCATCATCATACTTGCGCTTAGCTCCTCCGGAGCTAAGCGCAAGTATTTTCTAACCAGCGCCCAAGGCTTGTTAAGAAATGTTACTTTAAAATTCCATTTGAGCAATTGGATCACTTTCCCAGGGTTTCCAAGCAAAAAAAAGTGGAATTCGACAGGTTGGTTTTGTTTCCCCCCGCCCTCCCCCTCTATAGGGGTAGGGATCTTTAAACTAAAGGATGTTTTGTTACAGAGGTTCACAAATATTCACAAATATTGCACAGCTCTGCACTTACACCCTTTATAGGAGCATGGGGTGACTGCGGGGAGTTTACAAGAATTCCCGTTTTTGCTGCTTAGATCACCTGCTACGTGCAGCAACTTTAGCACTATGGTTTTTCTGTTTTGTAGTTTCTGTCAGGTACATTCTTGTCCCTTTTACAGGAGCCACCAGTTTGAATGAATCGAAGAAGGATTGAATCGGGTAGAATGCACTTCTGCAAGTTGTTTCATGTTTTCATGCCAGGAGGGTGAGGACGCATCAGATGAAAATCGTGTTCAAGATGTTCAAGAAGAGCATGAAAACGATGCAAAGCAGGCGCGGTAGGAAGGCAGACATGTGGTGACTTTGCTCAGAATTTCATTCATGCTTTAAACTAAAGGATGTTTTGTTACAGAGGTTCACAAATATTCACAAATATTGCACAGCTGCGCATTTACACCATTTATACGAGCATGGGGTGACTGCAGGGAGTTTACAAGAATTTCCGTTTTTTTTTGCTGCCAAGATCACCTGCTACGTGCAGCAGCTTTAGCATTATGGTTTTTCTGTTTTTGTAGTTTCTGTCAGATAAATTCTTGTCCCTTTTACAGGAGCCACCAGTTTGAATGAATCGAATAAAGATTGAATCGGGTAGAAACCACTTCTGCAAGTTGTTTCATGTTTCCATGCCAGGAGGGTGAGGGCGCATCAGATGAAGAAAATAGTGTTCAAGATATTCAAGAAGAGCATGAAAACGATGCAAAGCAGGCGCGGTAGGAAGGCAGACATGTGGTGACTTTACTCAGAATTTCAATCATGCTTTAAACATCCCTACCCTCTCAAATATGATATTTGTGTGTGTGTGTGTTTCTAAGTAATTGTCTAAATAACTTAATGGCAGCTTATTGTTCCCCACATCTTTGTGTCGGGGGTCTTGTTTTTGGTTCTGCACTCCCGCCTGCCTCCTCCCGTCCGCCCGCCACCTGCCACACACAACTTGTCCACGCACAACTTACTCCCACACGACAACTTTGGTCCACCCACCACTCACGACGCTAACGTGCCTCCCACCAACTTTCTCCCCCCCCCTTCCGGTTTCCCTCCCCCACCCCTTTCTCACACACACCTAATATTCACTCACCAACTTGCTCGCTTACAACCAACACAATGTGTCCACACACAACTGTGTCCACCACACCACTGCCACCACTTGTCACCACACAACTTGTCCACACACAACTTGTCCACACACAACTTGCTCACACACACAACTTGCTCACACACAACTTGTCCCCACACACAACTTGTCCACACACAACTTACTCCCACACAACTTCTCCACACACAACTTGTCGCCACACAACTTGCTCACACACAACTTGTCACCACACAACTTGCTCACACACACAACTTGTCCACACACAACTTGTCACACACACCACTTGTCACCACACAACTTGCTCACACACAACTTGTCCACACACAACTTGCTCACACACACAACTTGCTCACACACAACTTGTCCCCACACACAACTTGCTCACACACAACTTGCTCACACACAACTTGCTCACACACCACTTGCTCACACACAACTTGCTCACACACAACTTACTCACACACACAACTTGTCCACACACAACTTGTCACCACACAACTTGCTCACACACAACTTACTCACACACAACTTGTCCACACACCACTTGTCCACACACAACTTGTCACCACACAACTTGTCCACACACATCTTGTCCACACACAACTAAATCCCACACAACTTCTCCGCACATAACTTGTCACCACACAACTTGCTCACACACAACTTACTCACACACAACTTGTCCACACACAACTTGTCCACGCACAACTTCTCTACACACAACTTGTCACCACACAACTTGCTCACACACAACTTACTCACACACAACTTGTCCACACACAACTTGTCACCACACAACTTGCTCACACACAACTTACTCACACACAACTTGTCACCACACAACTTGCTCCCACACACAACTTACTCACACACAACTTGTCCACACACAACTTGTCACCACACAACTTGCTCCCACACACAACTTACTCACACACAACTTGTCCACACACAATACTTGTCACCACACAACTTGCTCACACACAACTTACTCACACACAACTTGTCCACACACACAACTTGTCCACACACAACTTGTCACCACACACAACTTGTCACCACACAACTTGCTCACACACAACTTACTCACACACAACTTGTCCACACACAACTTGTCCACACACAACTTGCTCACACACAACTTGTCCACACACAACTTGCTCACACACCACTTGCTCACACACGACTTGCTCACACACAACTTACTCACACACAACTTGTCCACACACACACACAACTTGTCACCACACAACTTGCTCACACACAACTTACTCACACACAACTTGTCCACACACAACTTGTCCACACACAACTTGTCACCACACAACTTGTCCACACACAACTTCTCCACACACAACTTCTCCACACACAACTTGTCACCACACAACTTGCTTACACACAACTTACTCCGACACAACTTCTCCACACACAACTTGTCACCACACAACTTGTCCACACACACAACTTGTCCACACACAACTTGTCACCACACAACTTGCTCCCACACACAACTTACTCACACACAACTTGTCCACACACAATACTTGTCACCACACAACTTGCTCACACACAACTTACTCACACACAACTTGTCCACACACAACTTGTCCACACACACAACTTGTCCACACACAACTTGTCACCACACAACTTGCTTACACACAACTTACTCCCACACACAACTTCTCCACACACAACTTGTCACCACACAACTTGTTTGCACACAACTTACTCACACACAACTTGTCACCACACAACTTGCTTACACAGAACTTACTCCCACACAACTTCTCCACACACAACTTGTCACCACACAACTTGCTTACACACAACTTACTCCCACACACAACTTCTCCACACACACACACACCTTGCGACATGGATCGACCACTTTGCGCGGCAGGTGTGGCACTTGGCGACATCCACCCTGCAAGTGAGCCCATCTCTCTCAAATACATCTTTGTCAAACACACACACACACATCATTGTCACTCCCAATCTTTCACACACAACGCTTTCACTCACAATCTTTCACACACACGCACACAACTCTTTCACAACCTTTCACACACATCTCTCTCACACACAACTTTGTCACACACAACTCTTCACATACATACAATTCTTAAAATGAGCGACCCTCCACCATCTCCTTTGTCCTTTCTTCTTTCTCCTTGATCCACTTTTTCTGATTATCCGGTCCTTTAATGAGTGTTTGTGCAGCAAGCACTGGTTTGGAACAGACCCATGGGGTAGCAGATGCGTGCCAAGGGCCGTGCATGCAGCTGTGATAAATGCAATGGGGTCCTTACATGTCAGGTTTGGAACTGTTTCTCATGTTTGTAGGCGCCAAAGAGGAGTGCAGAGATCGAGATCAAGCCTATGAGATATTGCCTCAGTGCAAGTCCACGTTGATTGATTGCTTTTCAAGTGCACTTGTGTGCCTTCATGTGCCTTCATGTGCCTTCCTTCAATTGCCCCGAGGCTCCTTCAAAGTGTGTTTTGTTCGTGTGGCTTAGGCCCAGCAGTTGAAGTGCAGCCAGATGAAGGACCGTCAGACTTCTGCAAACAGAAGGCCGGATCCTCAAAAAATGTTCTGGGCGAAGCATGTTTGAGCAATGTTGGCACGGTCTTTTGATGTCTTTTGTAGAAGTACAGCATGACAAAAAGAGTTCATATGAGAGTTTGTAAAAACCCTGCGCCTATTCGTTTAGTCTTCCATGATCCCCGATAGGCCATTTTTGGCTTTCGCTCGAAAAAACGATAAGAAAAAACAACGATAACGTTGAACGTTGGTTCTGTTAATGATCTGTGTCCAGACTCGCGAAATCCAATGTTTTTAATTTATCCGTCGTTCTGGAGCTATTTACATCTATTTATTATTGAGTGTCTTTGGTTTCTTCATTTCATTGTTTGTTGTCGTAATGGCGCGCCAACGAATGCGTGTCAGATTCAGCACAAGGAAGGTGCCTGGTAGGTGGTCGCTACACTCCTTTTTTGATGATTGCAGCCGTTTCCAGAAAAAAGAAACATACACAGGATTCACGAACGGTAACAAAACGATAACGAAAACGATAACTTTTGGCATCAAAAATGGTTCGTGTGAGACACGGCCTTTTTTTCCCTTGTCCTCTCCCTTGTCCTCTCCCTTGTCCTCTCCCATGCCCTCTCCCTTTCCTCTCCCTTTCCTCTCCCTTTCCTCTCCCTTTTCTTTCCCTTTCCTCTTCTGTGTGGAGTTTACAGCGTGGAGTGTGGAGTGTAAAGTGTAGAGTGTGAAGTGTAAAGTGTAAAGGGTGGAGTGTGGAGTGTAAAGTGTAGAGTGTGAAGTGTAAAGTGTAAAGTGTGCAGTGGAAAGTGTAAAGTGTGGAGTGTAATGTGTAAAGTGTGGAGTGCGGAGTGTAAAGTGTGGAGTGTGGTGTGTAAAGTGTAGAGTGTACAGTGTCGAGTGTGAAGTGTATACAGTGTAATGTGTGAAGTTGAAAAGTGTGAAGTGTAAAGTGTGGAGTGTCAAGTGTAGAGTGCGGAGTGTGGAGTGTACAGTGTGAAGTGTAAAGTGTGGAGTGTGGAGTGTAAAGAGTAGAGTGTAAAGTGTGGAGTGTAAAGTGTGAAGTTTAAAGTTTGGAGTGTCAAGTGTAGAGTGTGGAGTTTGGAGTGTAGAGTGATGCGAAGTGTAGATAAAAAGTGTACATACAAAAGTGCACATAAAAAGTGTAGAGTGTAAAGTGTAGAGTGTAGAGTGTGGAGTGCAAAGTGTAAAGCGTAAAAATTGGAGTGTAAAGTGTAAAGTGTGGAGTGCGGAGTGTAAAATGTAGAGTGTGGAGTGTGGAGTGTAATCTGTAGAGTGCGGAGTGTGGAGTGTAGAGTGTGGAGTGTAAATTTTGGAGTGTGGAGTTTAAAGGGTATAGTGTAAAGTGTAAAGTGTGGAGTGTGGAGTGTCGAGTGATGCAAAGTGTAGATAAAATGTGTACATAAAAAAGTGTACATAAACAGTGCGGAGTGTAAAGTGTAGAGTGTAAAGTGCGGAGTGTGGAGTGTAAGGTGCCGAGTGTGAAGTGTGGAGTCTAGAGTGCGCAGTGTAGAGTCTAAAGTGTGGAGTGTAAAGTGTGGAGTGTAAAGGGTAGAGTGTAAAGTGTAAAGTGTCGAGTGTATAGTGTGGAGTGTAAAGTGTGGAGTGTAAAGTGTGGAGTGTAAAGTGTGGAGTGTAAAGTGTAAAGTGTGGAGTGCGGAGTGTAAAGTGTGGAGTGTGGTGTGTAAAGTGTAGAGTGTACAGTGCGGAGTGTGAAGTGTGAAATATAGAGTGTAATGTGTGAAGTTTGAAAGTGTGGAGGGTAAAGTGTGGAGTGTCAAGTGTAGAGTGCGGAGTGTGGAGTGTAGAGTGTAAGTTGTGGAGTGTGGAGTGTAAAGAGTAGAGTGTAAAGTGTGGAGTGTAAAGTGTGAAGTTTAAACCTTGGAGTGTCAAGTGTGGAGTTTGGAGTGTAGAGTGATGCAAAGTGTAGATAAAAAGTGTACATACAAAAGTGTACATAAAAAGTGTAGCGTGTAAAGTGTAGAGTGTGGACTGTAAAGTGTAGAGTGTAGAGTGTGGAGTGCAAAGTGTAAAGCGTGAAGTTTGGAGTGTAAAGTGTAGAGTGTAAAGTGTGGAGTGTAAAGTGTGGAGTGTAAAGGGTAGAGTGTAAAGTGTGGAGTGTATAGTGTGGAGTGTCAAGTGAAAAGTGTGGAGTGTGGAGTGTGGAGTGTAAAGTGTGAAGTGTAACGTGTGGAGTGTGAAGTGTAAAGTGTAAAGTGTGGGGTGTAGAGTGTGGAGTGTGGAGTGTAAAGTGTGAAGTGTAAAGTGTGGAGTGTAAAGTGTGGAGTGTGTAGTGTGGAGTGTAAAGTGTAAAGTGTGGAGTGTAAAGTGTGAAGTTTAAAGTTTGGAGTGTCAAGTGTGGAGTGTGGAGTGTAGAGTGATGCAAAGTGTGGATAAAAAGTGTACATACAAAAGTGTACAGTGTACATAAAAAGTGTGGAGTGTAAAGTGTAGAGTGTAAAGTGCGGAGTGTGGAGTGTAAAGTGCCGAGTGTGAAGTGTGGAGTGTAGAGTGCGCAGTGTAAAGTGTAGAGTGTAAAGTGTGGAGTGTAGAGTGTGGAGTGTAAATTTTGGAGTGTAAAGTGTAAAGAGTGTGGAGTGTAAAGTGTGAAGTGTAAAGTGTGGAGTGTAGAGTGTGGAGCGTGGAGTGTAAAGTGTGAAGTGTAAAGTGTGGAGTGTAAAGTATGGAGTGTATAGTGTGGAGTGTAAAGTGTAAAGTGTGGAGTGTAAACTGTAGAGTGTAGAGGACGCAAAAGTATTGCGCCTGCCAGACAAAATGAAGTTCGACACGTTTGCAGACACATGGGAATGTCAAGAAGTGCCACGCTTCCCACGCAAAACCGCGTTATAACTTGCTTTGGCACCTTGAAACAGGATAAGTTTTGCACCTTCCCCCATAGACACGGCGAGGCCACAGGAAAGCCAGAGACTCGAGACGATACATGTTGGAGCATCAAAACGAGCGTTTCGTGCGAGACTTCCGTCAATTTTTAGCACATCTCACAAAATGCAACGCTTGCCAGGGAATTTGCACCTTGTCACCACTTTACGCAGCCCTGACATTGCGATTCGCACAAAACGAGCCACAAGACACGTCTAAAGTGCTGCACCTGCCACGCAAAATCACGATGATGGTCTCCAAAGTGTTGCGCCTGCCGGGAAAAATGCAACGCATCTTCTGAAAACGTCGCAAAAGTACTGTGGCTGCCACACAAAACGACTTTCCACAAGTCACGAAACACGTCTGAATGCCACGAAGTGCCACGAAGTGCCACGCCTGCCACGCACGCGAAACGCAGCAACGCGACAGTTGAAACTTCCAAAAATGACCCCTTTGGCAGAACTTGACATAGGCATGGCATGGCATGGCCATACGGCCCTCAACGGTTGCGAACGGTTGCGGACGGTTGCGGACGGTTGCAGACGGTTGCGGACGGTTGCGGTCGTAAACGCAGCGTCGAGCGAACACACCCTCACCCAGACCCCCAGAGTGAAACGGTAACCCTTGCTACGCATTCGGGAAAAAACGATAACATGGGAAAAAAACATTTGAAAGGGCTCGCGGTTTTTACAAGTATGATTTCATATGATTTCATCTCCAGGAAAGTAAAGGGTCGATAAACTGAGCGCAACTGAGACCACCGGCTCTGCATGATTGTGAGCATTGAGATGTTTTGAGCCTTGAATCAGCGAATCTCAATGGTTTCTGTCGTGCCATGCAGGTCATGAACGATACCGAATCTTTGCTTGGAGACCTTGATGCTCTATTCTTCAACAGCTGGGCCCGTCCTGGTGACGATCTGCAACCTGAAATCATGTAACTCTGACAAATTCTTAGAATTTCTCAGCTTTTCTGGCGCAGACTTGCGCAATGTGTTTGGAACATGTTTGAGCATTAAAGATTTTGGGATTTTGTTCGTTTTGTTGCATCGTTTACTCATGTTTACTCTTGTGCTGTCTGGGCCCGTTTTGCCTATTTTTGCCTGTCTTTGGCCAAGGCTGATATGTCAAAAGTGGAAACAAAAGCAGTTGCAGCAAGCTTCCAGCGAGAACAGTGCAGAGACAGTGGGCATGATGGACGCGTGGATCGAAAAAGTCTTGGAAGAGCTCCAGAGGGTGGGAATGGGGTGGGATGGGTCTGTTGGAAAGAATGTTTTTTTTGTAGAATCTTTTGATTCATGGCCCCGGAAATAGTATGAAGTTGCTAGGTTGTGTTTTGGTCAGGACGTGTAGTCCGTTGAGTGTTTTTGTTGTGGCTTGCAGTGAAGTGATGTGAAGTGCGCAGAATGGACGGACAATCGTCTTAACAAAAGATGAAAAACACACGTGACTTGGCCGAGAGATTTGCATCATTTGCAAGGTTCCTGCAATTCTTCAAATGTTGGCCCTCACTTGCCAGGTTCTTTGCGAAGAAGCCTCAACTGTCCATGGCCGTGTGTCCGGCGAAACCAATATTTGGATGCTGCAACCAAAGATTTTGGACGCTTGAGCGGCATCTTGCAATTCTCAGACCAGCTCTCCTGTGTGTTTTCTCCCTTTTCCATACGCCAATCCTTTCTCTCATTTCCATCCTTTTGTCCTTGACTTGGCCATGAAATTTGACAGGGTGTGGGATTCTATTTCCTTGGGCCTTTTGCGAACTCCATCGTGTGCCTAGGAGAGCTGGCAAAGACTTTGTGGTGATTCGACTCCAGTGCTGAAAGCTACAGTCACTACAACTGAGGCTGGCAATATCTGGCAATATGGCCTAGCTGGTAGCACCTGGGGTAGCCCATGGGGTGGCACATGCGTGCCACGGGGTGCCAAGGGCCCTGCATGCAGCTGTGATAAATGCCATGGTGTCCTTACATGTCAGGTTTGGAACTGTTTCTCACGTTTGTAGGCGCCAAAGAGGAGTGCAGAGATCGAGAAAGAGCCTATGAGACATTGCCTCAGTGCAAGTCGACGTTGATTGATTGCTTTTCAAGTGCACTTGTGTGCCTTCATGTGCCTTCATGTGCCTTCCTTCAATTGCCCCGAGGCTCCTTCAAAGTGTGTTTGTTCATGTGGCTTAGGCCCGGCAGTTGAAGTGAAGCCAGATGAAGGACCGTCAGACTTCTGCAAACAGAAGGCCAGATTTAGGAGGAACGTTCTGGGCAAAGCATGTTTGGGCATTTTTGGCACGGTCTTTTGTAGAAGTACAGCATGACAAAATATGACAGAAGATGTCATACGATTTCATCTACAGCATCCAAGAAACTGAGAACTGATGCGAGCCCTACATGATGTGAGTACTGAGCGAAACTGGGAGCCCTGTGCGTTTCGAGTCAGTGGATGTCACTGTGGTCCATGTCGTGCCATGCAGGTCATGAACGATACCGAATCTTTGCTTGGAGACCTTGATGCTCTATTCTTCAACAGCTGGGCCCGTCCTGGTGACGATCTGCAACCTGAAATCATGTAACTCTGACAAATTCTTAGAATTTCTCAGCTTTTCTGGCGCAGACTTGCGCAATGTGTTTGGAACATGTTTGAGCATTAAAGATTTTGGGATTTTGTTCGTTTTGTTGCATCGTTTACTCATGTTTACTCTTGTGCTGTCTGGGCCCGTTTTGCCTATTTTTGCCTGTCTTTGGCCAAGGCTGATATGTCAAAAGTGGAAACAAAAGCAGTTGCAGCAAGCTTCCAGCGAGAACAGTGCAGAGACAGTGGGCATGATGGACGCGTGGATCGAAAAAGTCTTGGAAGAGCTCCAGAGGGTGGGAATGGGGTGGGATGGGTCTGTTGGAAAGAATGTTTTTTTTGTAGAATCTTTTGATTCATGGCCCCGGAAATAGTATGAAGTTGCTAGGTTGTGTTTTGGTCAGGACGTGTAGTCCGTTGAGTGTTTTTGTTGTGGCTTGCAGTGAAGTGATGTGAAGTGCGCAGAATGGACGGACAATCGTCTTAACAAAAGATGAAAAACACACGTGACTTGGCCGAGAGATTTGCATCATTTGCAAGGTTCCTGCAATTCTTCAAATGTTGGCCCTCACTTGCCAGGTTCTTTGCGAAGAAGCCTCAACTGTCCATGGCCGTGTGTCCGGCGAAACCAATATTTGGATGCTGCAACCAAAGATTTTGGACGCTTGAGCGGCATCTTGCAATTCTCAGACCAGCTCTCCTGTGTGTTTTCTCCCTTTTCCATACGCCAATCCTTTCTCTCATTTCCATCCTTTTGTCCTTGACTTGGCCATGAAATTTGACAGGGTGTGGGATTCTATTTCCTTGGGCCTTTTGCGAACTCCATCGTGTGCCTAGGAGAGCTGGCAAAGACTTTGTGGTGATTCGACTCCAGTGCTGAAAGCTACAGTCACTACAACTGAGGCTGGCAATATCTGGCAATATGGCCTAGCTGGTAGCACCTGGGGTAGCCCATGGGGTAGCACATGCGTGCCACGGGGTGCCAAGGGCCCTGCATGCAGCTGTGATAAATGCCATGGTGTCCTTACATGTCAGGTTTGGAACTGTTTCTCACGTTTGTAGGCGCCAAAGAGGAGTGCAGAGATCGAGAAAGAGCCTATGAGACATTGTCTCAGTGCAAGTCGACGTTGATTGATTGCTTTTCAAGTGCACTTGTGTGCCTTCATGTGCCTTCATGTGCCTTCCTTCAATTGCCCAGAGGCTCCTTCAAAGTGTGTTTGTTCATGTGGCTTAGGCCCGGCAGTTGAAGTGAAGCCAGATGAAGGACCGTCAGACTTCTGCAAACAGAAGGCCAGATTTAGGAGGAACGTTCTGGGCAAAGCATGTTTGGGCATTTTTGGCACGGTCTTTTGTAGAAGTACAGCATGACAAAATATGACAGAAGATGTCATACGATTTCATCTACAGCATCCAAGAAACTGAGAACTGATGCGAGCCCTACATGATGTGAGTACTGAGCGAAACTGGGAGCCCTGTGAGTTTCGAGTCAGTGGATGTCACTGTGGTCCATGTCGTGCCATGCAGGTCATGAACGATACCGAATCTTTGCTTGGAGACCTTGATGCTCTATTCTTCAACAGCTGGGCCCGTCCTGGTGACGATCTGCAACCTGAAATCATGTAACTCTGACAAGTTCTTAGAATTTCTCAGCTTTTCTGGCGCAGACTTGCGCAATGTGTTTGGAACATGTTTGAGCATTAAAGATTTTGGGATTTTGTTCGTTTTGTTGCATCGTTTACTCATGTTTACTCTTGTGCTGTCTGGGCCCGTTTTGCCTATGTTTGCCTGTCTTTGGCCAAGGCTGATATGTCAAAAGTGGAAACAAAAGCAGTTGCAGCAAGCTTCCAGCGAGAACAGTGCAGAGACAGTGAGCATGATGGACGCATGGATCGAAAAAGTCTTGGAAGAGCTCCAGAGGGTGGGAATGGGGTGTGATGGGTCTGTTGGAAAGAATGTTTTTTTTGTTTTTTTTTGGAATCTTTTGATTCATGGCCGGGCAATAGTATGAAGTTGCTAGGTTGTGTTTGATGTGTTTTGGTCAGGACGTGTAGTCCGTTGAGTGTTTATGTTGTGGCTTGCAAAATGGACGGACAATCGTCTTAACAAAGAATGAAAAACACACGTGACATGTCTGGCCGAGACATTTGCATCATTTGCAAGGTTCCTGCAATTCTTCAAATGTTGGCCCTCACTTGCCAGGTTCTTTGCGAAGAAGCCTCAACTGTCCATGGCCGTGTGTCCGGCGAAACCAATATTTGGATGCTGCAACCAAAGATTTTGGACGCTTGAGCGGCATCTTGCAATTCTCAGACCAGCTCTCCTGTGTGTTTTCTCCCTTTTCCATACGCCAATCCTTTCTCTCATTTCCATCCTTTTGTCCTTGACTTGGCCATGAAATTTGACAGGGTGTGGGATTCTATTTCCTTGGGCCTTTTGCGAACTCCATCGTGTGCCTAGGAGAGCTGGCAAAGACTTTGTGGTGATTCGACTCCAGTGCTGAAAGCTACAGTCACTACAACTGAGGCTGGCAATATCTGGCAATATGGCCTAGCTGGTAGCACCTGGGGTAGCCCATGGGGTAGCACATGCGTGCCACGGGGTGCCGGCCGTGCATGCAGCTGTGATAAATGCAATGGTGTCCTTACATGTCAGGTTTGGAACTATTTCTCACGTTTGTAGGCGCCAAAGAGGAGTGCAGAGATCGAGATAAAGCCTATGAGACATTGCCTCAGTGCAAGTCGACGTTGATTGATTGCTTTTCAAGTGCACTTGTGTGCCTTCATGTGCCTTCATGTGCCTTCATGTGCCTTCCTTCAATTGCCCAGAGGCTCCTTCAAAGCGTGTTTTGTTCGTGTGGCTTAGGCCCAGCAGTTGAAGTGAAGCCAGATCAAGGACCGTCAGACTTCTGCAAACAGAAGGCCAGATTAAGCAGAAATGCTGAAATCGGAAGTCTGTTAACATCTATAATTTAAATCCACAACCATATGATATGATAGATACGAGTAGTACCGCACAAGGCGGTGGCGGAAGTTTCAAAAATAGGAAACCTATAGGAGAGGTTGGTGTTGTGACTCAGGGATGGCAGAGCGAAGCCACTGATGGACTGAAAGGTGCTTGATCTCTCTCTCTCTCGCTCTCTCTCTCTCTTTTTTCTCTTTCTCTCTTTTTCTCTCTGTTTCTCTATCTATCTATCTATCTATCTATCTATCTATCTATCTATCTATCTATCTATCTATCTATCTATCTATCTATCTATCTATCTATCTATCTGACTATGTACCTGTCTATCCATCTGTCTATCTATCTATCTATCTATCTATCTCTCTCTCTCTCTTTCATCTGTCTAGCTGTCTACCTGTCTATCTGTCTATCTGTCTATCTACCTACCTATCTATCTATCTATCTGTTTGTCTATCTATCCATCTATCTTTCTTTCTTTCTATCAATCTTTCTATCTATCTATCCATCTCTCCATCTATCTATCGCTCAAAACTGTCTCTCTATCTATCTGTCTATCTGTCCATCTATCTGTCTATGTACCGATCTATCTGTCTATCTGTCTATCTATCTATCTATTTATCTATCTATCTATCCATCTATCTATCTATCTCTCCATCTATCTATCGCTCAAAACTGTCTCTCTATCTATCTGTCTATCTGTCCATCTATCTGTCTATGTACCTATCTATCTATCTATCTATCTATCTATCTGCCTGCAAGATCAAAAGCGAAGAAATTCTGCGAGACTCCCTTAATGTTTAAACATAACAACGTCCGAAACAAAACAATTCTGCGAGATGTCTTCATTTTTGAACTTGACAACATCCGAAACGAAGCAATTCTGCGAGACATCCTCATTTTTCGAAGTTGAAGACATCAAAAACGAAAGAATTCTGCGAGACTTCCTTCAAAAATGGAAAGTTGAGTGCAGAGCTGACAGCCTCATACCAATGCGTTTTGCGATTTTTCCAGTCCACCTGTCTAAAGTATTGCGCCTGCCACGGAAAATTGATGCCAGGTCATACGAAGTGCTGCACCTGTCACGCAAAATCATCTTAGCAAACCTGCACATCTCCAAAATGCAACCCTTCTCAGGAAATCAGCGCCCTGACCTCCTAGCATCTCTCATGAACATGTCTTTTGTACTGCGCCTGCCACGGAAAATGCATCTTTACAGATCCTTTTCAAATGTCCCATGCCTGCCATCGTTTTTTGGAAATGCCACAACACCCTCACGTTTTGCTCACTTTTGAAGACGTGCACAATCCCTTGCGCCTGCCACGCGAAACGACATCTGAACCTCCAAAAGTGGTCCGTACATGGTGTGTTTTGTACATTTTGACTTGGAAATGTGCTTCGCGCCACAACGGCGTGCACTTTTTCGACATCTCAACTTCCGTCCGAGCATGGTGTGCTTTGTACATTTTGACTTGGAAATGTGCTTCGCGCCACAACGGCGCGCACTTTTTCGACATCTCAACTTCCAAAAGTGGTCCGAGCATGGTGTGTTTTGTACATTTTGACTTGGAAATGTGCTTTGCGCCACAACGGCGCGCACTTTTTCGACATCTCAACTTCCAAAAGTGGTCCGAGCATGGTGTGCTTTGTACATTTTGACTTGTTGAAAACTTCATTTTTGGCCTGGAGGGATTGGCTTGAAGTTCACCAATACAAATTGTCTTGCGTGCGTTGATCAAGGGCCTCACCAGTGTCTTCATTGATTCTCTGGTGAGTGCCCTCCAGCTTCAGGATGCGTAGGCACTTTCATGGCCCCCGGTCTGGCCATTCTGACCGGGGTTGTGTGGGAGCGGTTCCTATTAGCCATGGTCCCACAGAAGTGTCCTTTAGTGCTGCTTTTTGTGCAGCCGTGCATCCTGGCGTAATTGTTGGCTTGAAAGCCAAAGGATTCACATGCGATGTTGATTTGCGGTATCTTACAGTAGAAGAATTGACTTTAGGAATGCAAGGTTTTCTGGATGAGGAAGAGGCTGCTAGCCTTATTGAATTGTCACAAGTCACTGTGCGAAGCATGCCAAACCGGTCAAGCAGTGGAAGTATCTGTGTCGCTTCGAGCCCATCTGACAACACGGCAAGAGCATCATCACCCGCATTTTTTTCCGAGTCGCAGGTTGCAATCAGCGCGTCCGCTCCCAAACGTCGTTGTCTGTCTCAGGTTGCACCGGTGGATTTTTTTTGGGATATTTATATCCGGCTCGGCATTCGCGGGCTGCTTTGGTCTCCGCTTGCTGCCAGTAACCCAGATGCTGCCAGAGTGGGCTTTGAGCGCCGGTTTCAGAATTTTGAGCTCAAGAGCTTGAAAGCAAAAATCAGCATGCTCAGACGGTGGTGGAGATTTCTAGAAGCTCAGCAAGCACCGCAATCAAATGCCGTGCTGCCAGTAGTCCAACCATGTTTTCAATTTTTGCAAGCTGTAGCAGCGTCTGGCCCCACAGCTGCACCAGGAGTCTTCCAAAATATGCTTTGGTGGCGTCGCCATGTCGGAATTCCATGGCCCACTGAGGACCCGCTTTTGTGTACGTGGAATCGTGTCTTAGAACCGCATGCCCCAAAAGAGCGTACGCCGTTGTCATTTAAGGCTTACTCTGTTTTAGTAGATCTGACGTCCAAACCCCCAGCTGCAGTTGCGTCCTTCGCGGCATTCGCCTTGCTTCCATTGGTGGCTTGTTTGCGCTTTGCACACGTGCAGCGATCAGTAGGCCTTGCAGTGGATGGTGAGTATGTGGTTGGGCTATGTGTGAAAGGCAAGAGCCGCCGGAAAGGTGGGAGGCCACCGTTTCGCTGGGCCGCCCCAGCGCATTTTGCTGGTCGAAACAATGTCTTCGACCCCATGCTGAGAGTCGTTCAACAGCTCCAGTCGCAGCATGGAACTTTGCCATTTGTGATCCCGGACCTCGCTTTGGGCCCGTCTGGAGTTGTGGATGGCGATGCAAAGTGGTGCCAGAGGCCAATGCCCATTGAGAAATTTATTTCATTGCTCCGATCTCTCTTGGGTTGTAGGAATGTTGACAGAGATGAGATCGAAAGTATCACCACTTATAGCTTGCGTAGATTCCTGCCAACAATTGCTGAAGTGTTGCTCACGCCTCCATTTGTTTCCCAGGCTCTTGGGAACTGGCAGGAATTTCCAACGCAATCCCATGTGGATCCAGTAGCCTTGAGTATGGCGCAGCACTATGCGCATGACAAAGTCGCTAGCGCTGGCTACGTTAAAGGGCTCTTGTTGTCAGCAGTGCAGAAGGCTCAGCAGGCTTGCCCAGGGGAAAAAATTGTGTGGCAAACGTTTCGGAAATGCGGCATCACATGGCAGTCCCTCGTCCCCTCTGAATTTCAGGAGGAGCGGGGTCGTGACGCATCCGCGTCTTTGGACGAATCTTCCAGTGAGTCTAGCTCTTCAAGCTCTAGCAATGCATCTGATGCAAGTGCAGCTAGAAGGGTGTGCCAAACCATAAATTGGATGAGCGTCCAGCCAGCGGTGGTGCACATCTTGCAAGATGGTGGTGCAGCTTTTATTCCATGGTGCCGTACCACCCCTTTTGTCTCTGCTAATGTGAAATGGGGGACTGGGCTTCAACCAGGCTCCAATGTCTGCGCAAAGTGTATCCACCGTGTCCCGCCATCTCTGCTTCAGGCAATCAGAAAGGCCTTGGCACAAACTGATGGGTGATTGGCGTGGGGCCATCGATGGCCATTAGCCTTACACCTTAGAATTATTTGGCTCTGACCCTGACCCACAGGCCACTTCTTGCCTTGTGTAGGGGGTGGGCAACCTTCTTTGCGCAAGCCTAATTGCTAGGCGGCGTCTGCTAGTTGGCAGTGCAATGACCATGAGGCGCTTGAAAAGTGTAGCGCGAGAAAGACTGCGGGGTCGTGTGGTTATCAAACTGCTTCTTGTTTCGGAGTTTAATCCCAACATGGCAGTTGGAGCTGCGCTTAGCCGATTTTGCCTTGCAGTTTTTCATTGTGGTCGTTCACTCATCCTGTCTTTGTTTTTGTTTTTTAATGCATATGTCATATATATATATAATATTGTAAATACTTGTGCTGATGTGGGCGCGAGGGTTTGCTTGAAAGTTGCTCTTTTTTTTTTGGCTACTTGAAAGTGAGCTTAGTCATTGTCTCTGGTGATGCCACGCTGTTGCTCATTATTGGATGAGTTCACGCGTGTGAAACCAGCTGCGCTCACGGCATGTCACTAGCTTCGTTTAGGCTTCAAGCACAACCCTCACCATGCCCGGACCACAGTCCGCTCAAGTGAAGCGAGACAAGGAGGAATTGTCCAAATTGTTTCAGCAATGTAGGTTGTCTGAAGACCTCATCAAGTATATCGACACGGTTGGTGTGGAGTCCCTCTCCGATTTTGTCAACATGGTCAGTGCTGCATCCTATGAAAGTGAGCTCAAGACGTTGTTGCTTGACCCGTCATCGGAGAAGGGAAGTGTCATTCAATTGTCCAGATTACGAGCTTCCTGGCAAGAAGCTAAATCTGTCCTTGAGCGCTCCAAAAAGCGTAGGCTGGAAGGTGTTGCAGAAGATGCTGATGATCCTCTAGATACTGTCATGCAAGAGGGTCTCATGTCCAGTTTTGCCACTCAGTATGGATTGAGATTGCCCATGCATTTGACGCCCAGTGACTCCCTACTGGGTCGCGTTTACCGAGAAGTATCCAAGGGCGCTCCTACAGTGATAGCCATTCGCAAGGTGCAATCGTTGTACAAAGCCTCTCAAGTTGCAGCCAAGGAAGAGGTATCCCTAGGCAGTCACATTAAGGTCCAACTGCAGTCTGAGCCTCCACCTCTGAAGCACACAATCCAATATTATTTTGGTCTGCGCATTTTAGGAAATGCTTATGCAATTGTTGGCCAGCATAAAGTGGAATCTGCAGTCACTCCATCAGAGC